GATCAGATTCCACCTTCATGGAGAACAGAAACTATTCACAATCTAACGAACCTCAACCTTGAGTTAATTACTATTAAATCAGATTCCCCACTTCTTTCAGTCGTTACTAACGTACCCCTGGGACTCACCCTGTGGGCCTCCGTATGGAAAAAGCAGTCCAACGGAAAATTTATACAAGCTAAAAAGGAAATCGTTCTTAGCACAATCAACTTGAGTAGGCTATCACACACTTACTTCAACGGAACTTACACAAGTAATGGTGGAAGTGCAGCTTGCTACGTCTTTAAGGGCAATAGTGAGTATTATCTGGGAAACCAAGCCGAGTTGGTAGATAACAAGCTAGTCTGGTGTGTTATCGTTAAACCGGAACACTCAATGCCTACTGGTATGAGTATGGATCTGTCTTTTTGTTGGTCACTGTTATATTCAGGGTCAAACGGTGGATAACATGTGTTGTATCATAAAGTATTATGTCAGAGTGGCGTTCATGCTTCTCATGTATGGGTAAAATCTGTGGCTGCCGTAAGAGGTCTAGGAGAAATGGGAAGGCTGGAGATATAAATTTCTCTGTATCCAATGATATTAAGGTTGAAGTGACCACACAGGGTGAAAAGGATGATGCCAACAGTGTATCCGGACTACAAAGGCATACCCCCTTGTGTACCCCCAAGGAGAAAATAAAAGATGTCGAAGAGGCTCCAGAATAGGAAAATTGGACGATATTGGAGAAGTGTAGGATTGCACCTAGGATAATCATATTAGAGTCTTAGCTGGACTGATAAGGTGATCCCGAAGCTCTGAGATAAGTTAAATGAAAAACATTTCGGAGAGACCTCAGAATAGCAGTTTCACATTCAAAAATAAATGGACCGTGGAACTGCTGAAGTCGGGAACAATCGTTGAGGAGCGGGACCATTTATTTTGGCCGAAGGTAAAAACTAGTGGTCTCGCTCCGAAACTTAGTGGTCTCGCTTCGGCATATATATATATATATATATATATATATATATATATATATATATATATATATATATATATATATATATATATATATATATATATATATATATACATATATACATATATACATATATACATATATATATATATATATATATATATATATTCATATATCATACATATATATACATATATATATACATATATATACATATATATACATATATATACATATATATACATATATATACATATACGTATATATATGTATATATATGTACTATTTAAAACACGAGTAGGAGTGTTTTATCAGATATATATATATCTGATAAAACACGACAACGAGTGTTTTGAATAGCTTAAAATACGACTACAAAAGAATACTAATTAGGATGAACCATAGTATATTATGCTAATTAAAATGAACAATTATATAATGCCACATGTGTTTTATCAGATATAAAGTCACTCCACGTGACATATTATGGCTGACATGATTTGCCACAATGTTTATGAATTATTAATGAGTATTTTAATTAAATATATATATAGCGTTGCAATCTCTGCGTACAAGAAAAACTCTGCATAATGGATGCAAACAAACATTGAAAGAAAGACCCGAGATATTCGCAAAATGCCGACATCGCGAGAAATTTTGGGCGGGAAACAAACAATACAATATATAACAACAATTACAAAATTCGTCAAGCAATGCATTCTCTTGCACCATGATGTTATAAACCAACGTGGAAATTAAGTGTGGACTAATTGGATTAATATGCGTATATTAGGACATTTATATTAAAACCAATGATTAGATTTTCTGCGTTTTTACGCTCAGTAAATCCTCAGTTGCATGGTGACGCTCATCTCGCAGTTGTGGGTCTAAATTAATTTGAATAACAAAAGACTCGCACACCTAAGCACATTTTACTAATAACCCTCTTTATATCAAACTTCTCAACTAAATCGTCGATGATACAGACGATATTCGCTGGCTTTACTGAATCTGATTTATAGCCTTTATTGTGAAGAAAGTTGATTGATGTCAATATGTTCTTATTGATTTTCTACTGTGGGTTAATATCATTCGTCGTGTCTGCACATTCCAACAACGACACATTAGATGATGGAGATAAACTAAACATCAGCACTACGTTGTCTGCTTTGCCGTCCACGACGATTCCTGTTTCCAAGAAATGCGTTGTGGAGATGAAAGAGAGCGAAATCTCGCAGATTGTTGAACTTTTTAACAGTAATGTTGTTAATGTAGTGGATATTCATGTCTCCTTCTCTGGTACTAGTCACGACAAACATCTCTTATCGGATTTTCATGTTTCATTAATGAATCCCATCGGTCGAGAAATTATACACACTCTTGACGGACCGGAGTTCAGATATTTAACTTGGACTTTAAACACTGGCATACGAAACTTTGAATTACGTTTCAAAGAAAATCAAAGCGAGTGCATTAAAAGGAATGAAAATGTAACTAATTTTGCATTGGAGAATACGCAGAATATAATTCGCAGCATAAACCTGGCAACAAACTACGATGTTTGCTCTTCTTATAAGGAAACTTCATCAGGAGAAGTAAAACGAATTTGCTGTCAGATTACAAAATCCAATTCGACGAAATTCAATGAAGGCTGCTCCGAACCAAAATCATTTCTTTACGGGAGTAGTGTTCTTTGGGATGTTATATCCGTAATGATGCTTCTTTTTTCCTGGTTGTATTTGATGTGGTTGCTGTTTGTGCTTTTGTCTCGTACTGAGTTCGACTTAAAATATCCCAAATATTACAAGCTGGAGGAAAGCAGGATGTCGCCATCTTTTATTCTCTTTAAAATTATTTGGAAAGAAAATGGTCACGTAGTATCCTTTATCCGTAGATGTGTATTAACAGGCGTTTTTTCTTATTGCATTTACTTGGTTTTTCGCGCAATAACAATATTCTATGTGATGGTGCAAATTAAACTCCTTTTCTGGGGACTAACGTTTTTAATTTCCAGTCTGTACGGATCTAAGATTACAGACTCCTCTATTATCGTCAGTAAAATAAAAAGAAGGAATCAGTGGTTCATTACTTTCTACTTCGATATTCTACAATATTTTAGACACAACGTTAACGAGTTACGCCAGGACGTTGACAGTGGAGAATTTGCAATCGTGATTAAATTATTAACTTTGCCATTTAACATAAATTTTTGGAAAAAGACAATAAAGAATTTGCATAGCGTGTTTACAATTTTTATCACATGTGCAGGTAAACGGTTCAGAAATCGTATTCTGAAAATTTTCGCACTATGCACGTGTTATGTACTTGCAGTACCGATTTGTTCGCTTTATGTTTGTATTGTATTTCTCTCTCTCGTAATAGTAGGAATTTTATATCCTGCAAGCAGCACAGGAGAAATGTTATACCTGATTCTAAACTTGGAATATAAGATTGAGTCTTGCTGTTCACAATTCTTGATTCGGTTTCACATGATTGGCCTTCTATGCTTTCTCCATCTTACTTTGATCGTAATGATATTCGCGATACAGTCTTTCCTTTTAGGATTGTTTCTAAATCTTATTTACTTCATTCCTTACTTCGCATTTTTCTCTGTCCTAACATTCTACTGTTGCAGTTATTGGAAGACCATGGAAGAGAAATACTGCGTATTAAAACGGCTAATTTACGAAGCATGTCGAGACAAACAGCAAGTGAATAATGGCTGCATACCAAATAGACATCCCAAACGCGAGGAAAAAGTATTACCTGTGGTGTCCAAAGAACTTTATGATAAAATCAGAGAAGAATTGTTACCGTATGTTACAAACTTATTTTATTTTGGATTGAAAATATTTTGGTCTTTTGTATTCTCATTTGGTATTTTTAAGCTAATCAATATGCTAAATGAATTGAATGTTACTGGTGTAGTTCAAGTTGTGACAACTGCGAGTCTCGGTATTATGCCGCACATATTCAATATGGTAGCGTCGAGAATAAGCGAAGAAGGAAAAAAAGCATGGGAGGAAAGGTTGAAATTAAATGTGAAATACATGGTGGAAGATTTAATTCGTGAAGATCCTGAACTAGCTCGGACGGTTTTGATAAAACAGAAGAATGATGTCGCAACATCTGTAGGTGAAGTCACGGAGAATATTCAGTACGAATCATCCGTGTAATGCAGTATAACTTTCGATAACACTTCATTATTCTGTTAGTATCTAGGCAATGATATGGTTTCTAGTGCAAGTTGGATGAAACAGTGTATAAAAATAGCACGAGTCGGATGTATACAAGTATTATAATTAATAGCGCAGGATTGGCAAGGTCCTATACCAGGGGGCCTGTAGTTGTATTTTTCGCAACTGTTGCTGGTTAGGTATAAAAATGCATAAGATCATTTTGGGGGCAGATTGGTGAAAATTATAGAACAATTGTGCATTTGATGATGAAAGCACACAACTTGGCATAATGTTAAGGTATACCTTAAGGACAGCCTAGACCTAGGCCTTTACTCGGCTGGTTTTGGCGGGTTTGGTCAAATTCCGGCTAGCATTTGGTAATTATCGCCCCCGCCCTCCGCTACGCCCCCAAATCACCTAGTCCCAGTCTTTTCATGTGAAAAAACGCTGAATATTAAAAAATAATAAAAATAGAAGGCCTGGGTCTAGGCTGCCCTAAGGGCATTTTTTAGCTATAGGGGCATTACAGATTAGCTCTTGGTCGCAAAAAAACTAAATGTAGGACATTTAAACGGCTGCTACGATTTTCGACACCGATTTTAAGTTCCATAAAAGGTTAAAGCTGCTTAAAAAACGCAGTATTTTGTGGCTCTTTTCTACTATTTTGCGGTTTTTGATTGTTCGAGATAGGCTTGGAAAACCGTACTATCCGCTTAAATGTTCTTCGCATAGTTTTTTTTGCGATCTTTCTAACGATATAGGTGATATTAGGGAACTTTGAAATTTTAAGAATATAGGTGATATTAGGGAACTTTGAAATGGTAAGAAAAATAAAATTTTGTGGTAACCAGGAGCTAATCTGTAATGCCCCTATATAGCCAAAAATATCCTTAGGGTATCCCCTAACCACTTGCCATCAATCTGTTACAGTATTTGTATATATTGCCAAATATTTGGAGGTTAACTGAGCCATGGAAATTCCCTAAATTTTATTAAAAGCTCGATTTCTTAATTTTTAATACACTCTTTATTTTGTCCAAAACTCAAATTTCAGTGTAGGCTTGCTCAAAGTGATCACAGAACATTACACAGTTTTTCCAAATTTTTCTCTTTGAGATAAACTGTATACTGGAAACAGGCAATCAAATTCGAGAAACATTTTTGTGTATATTATTACTCAAGTAAAAACACAGTTGTATTTGCCAATAGCCAGGGTCCTGACCATTGGGATACGGCGGAGGGGGTTGCGACATTTCATTGAAAAAGTCGGTCATCATATGACAGCCCCCTCCCAATCCTGATACTTTTGCCACGCCCCTGCCAGTGGCCTGAGATGGGGGACGTCTATTGTTTATCAGAGCGCTTGCTAGCTGTTGCTTATTAAAAGAACAAAGACAATAAAAATTTTATATTAGAACTTTACATACACACTATTATATACATTAATTGAAATTTAGTATAGAATACCTAATAACGTACAATCGATAATTGCACATCTAAATTGTTTATCTAAATCGCTTGTCTAAATTGTGTATCAATAATTGTATGTGTTAGTCTTTGCATTATTAAATATTCTTTTGTTTTGAATTTTTTGTAATTTGTTGCTACAGTGCACTTCGCTACATTTGCTTGACAATGGCACAATGGTCAGGGACGTC